TTGCATCTATTTTTGGTGGGCAACATCTTGACACTAGAAGATGGACCCATTTGTTGTTTAGCGTAACCACGCCGAGAAATAGCCACATTGTTACGAGAAGATGTCATTAACTAGTCGAAATACCCTATCGAAATCGCCGGGAACAGACAAAACCAAAAAAACCGTAACGTGGTGCAAACTATATTCTGAAACCCAGAATTCCTAAAGGGATTTTCCAATTTATTGACACAAACCTTACCTTCTCCCTCAACAGTCCCTAAAACACCTGCTAAAAAAGATGTCAGTCCAGCCCAAGACAAAGAAAATGGACTAAATCACAACCCTCACAGTCCAATGGTAGCTGACCTGCTAGAAAGAGACTACAGTTGCCCAACATAATGACTTTTAAGATCCTACAAAATAATGACTAAAATCTATATGACGTGAAGCCGAAGTCATCCAACTTTTATTATGATCTCAACATACATGCAGATTTGAACTTGTAAATGTCATTGTATCAGTATGTCACATTATATGTGACAATGAGAATGTCATTTATGTACTTAAATGGCATTTACATAAGCTAGTCAGCTTTTTTTAACAATATTCATGTGTTTAAATTGAAATAAATTTAAGTTTTGGACTGTGAGAAATAAATTTCACGTCCATCACAAGCACATACTCGACTTTTTTTAGCATTGCCCAATTGCAATATACTTAAATATATACTGAAAAAAGATTCTTGTCGAAAACAAAATGCATAGTTCAGCCTCAGCCTACTGCAACTTGTGAATTATCATCATATTCATATGTAAATCTAATCTGTTCAGAAAAATCTCTCCTCTTGATTCAACCTAAGTTTATTCTATCTTTCTACGTCGAACTAAGACCAAAAGGACAGTAGCGGAAAATTATTCAGAGTCGGATTCTGATAATGCCATTTGCCGTGCATCCTTTGGCTCCTCATCAGTCATGGAAGGTGGGATCAGTTTGTTCAAACTTTCCCTTGCTCGACTCCTTCTTCGTCTATCCTCATCCTCCTGAAGAGGCCAATAACCATAAAAATAGGTCATAAATTTGCACTAACAATAAATAAATCTTTTAATTTCCAAACCACGCACCAGAATATTGTGAAAGAGTTATCGCAAAAGCCAAAAGCGTGAAAAGATTGTGACCAGTTCATGGTATATTTTGTTAGCATAGATGATTTCTTTAACATAATATTTCTGCATTCTTTTGGATATTAGATGATTTCTGTAACACACTATCTAGGAGAAAACTTAGAGATGTGTACCTTTTGTTGATTAGATTTATTTTGGTTACTCGATTGAATCATTCGGCTTCTGTTTAGCCAAATCATACCGGATGACATGAGAGCTAGCAAAAGCAATGATGGACCGATTCTTGGGTCACCAAGGTAATCAGATAAAAGGTTTATGAGGCTTTTACTCAGTTGCTTCGACGAAACCAACTTCTTGGAACTCTGTGACCAGAGCTGAGGTGGATCCTCAGGCACCAGTTCAGGGGCTTTTGTTTTCTGCGAAAATAAGGAAAAGCATATTTGAGCATTGCAAAGTTAAAAGAGCAAACAAGAAATATTACGCTTTTTTTTTCTTTTTTTTTTTCTAACTACATCAATATTCT